CTCTCCATCTCTGTGTCCCCCCTTACATTCTAATAGAGAGTCCCACTGCACTCCTGACCGAGAAGCCCCATCCAATGTGCTTGGATTTTGGTTTCCCTGGTTCCTCTTTCTTTGCCATATACAGTGATGTATACTTTGAATTATAATGTAAATTTTTGTAACAAACGTGAGTTGTTCATAAAAATGTTGTCAAGAGAACAGGAAGTGGGGATAAATCTTAATAGCCAAAGTAGCCGTAAAAACCTGACAGGGGCTCTAACCTGCCCCCCACCCCATCCAAAAACAAGGTCAGTTTTGTCTGATCGATGAGGACAAATTAATTCCACTTCTTCCCGCAGATACAAAGTCCGTGTTGTCTGGAAGCTGATCTCGGGTCAGAAATCTGCCAGAGCGACACTGCCACCTGCTGGACACACACGGGTACTGACCCGCCGACCGAGACACAAGCCGAGTCTGAAATCCAAAGGATCCGTCTCCACTCTCAGCACACACAAGGGTTAATATTTATCACTGAATGTAATACAAGTGGAAGTAAACCTTACAGGACGCTTCACACCCGTGTGTTACAACATTTTTTACTGCACGCAACCGCAACACACGGAACGCGCATTGCAACACGTTACATTTTACACACATTACAATCCACATTTCAGGCCCAATAATTACTTAAACCCCCGAGAGTTATAAATGCCCTAAAAGCAGAGACCCCGTGGAATATAATGGCGGCAGATGCAAATGTTTATGTCGCCTGATATCAGCGCAACCCTTTATAAAACCCCAAATTTCAGGAAAAATTACACTTAAAAGGAGAACTATGAGGGCAGTGAAAATCACTCCCCTCATAGTTCGAGCCGACGTGTGACAATGAGACTGTCACAGGTCGGCTCAGTAGATCGGGAAGTGAGGGAACACATACCGGCGCTCGCTCACTTCTCGATCATCTCCCTGCAGAGAGCCGTGACTGTCACTCATGGCTCCCTGCAGGGATACCCCCCCCCCCTTCTCTGATCCTCCAGCGCTGACTGGAGGAACGGACGGGGGAGGGGGCGGGTACAGCTGGCGCTGTCTCTAGATAGGCAGAGCCAGCTCTCACTCATGCAGCTGGGTGGATCTCGACAGTAATGTCGGGATCCGTCCTGGCTGCGGCGCTCACAGTATATTGCGGGCAACAGCCCGCTATATACTGAGCTTTGGGTGACGGGAGGACGCTAGTTTGTGTCCTCCCCTGATCCTTAGGAGAGCTATGGGGAAAACACTGACCCCATAGCTCTCATTTAAGTAAACCTTAGCGCAGAAAAAACACAATAAAATACCAATTTTAGGATGAGGTTACGGCGAGTAAACAGACACCCAACATGACAAGCTTAAAAATTGCGTGCGTCTTTGGAACAGCGAAATTGTCCATAGGCAACATTTTAAAAGCCTGTCAGGTCATCAGTTTAGAGTTATCCATGAATATTGGCCCTAGAATTATTGCTCACCCTGATGCATGTGGCGATATACCCGACATGTGTAGCACAATCGATGCATTCATATGTAGGCGCCCCCGACACATGTTTATATTGGGTTCCCATCTTTCCTTCATTGCCATCACATAGGGGAGCTCACAAGCCCCCTATGTGATAATACATTAGGTGATGACAGGTTCTCTTTTTATTTCCTTCAAAGAGAACTATGAGGTAAGCAAATATATAACCCAATATTATAAAGCCCTTTCGGGTTTGTTGGTCATCATCAGTGCAGCGTTTGGATACCATGGCCTCTATGAAGGAGCACTGGGGGGAGGGGGAGTTGGGGGGGGCAATAAGAAGGTATAACCAGACAGGTTAGGGTTATGGTCTTTTTGTTAAGTCCGTGGAGCGTGCTCGAAAACAAATCCCCCGTGAACAAAAAAAAGTGAATCGTGAAATCACAACACACTGAAAAAAAGTGCACGAGGTTGCTTGGTCCTTCTCCAAGAGGAAGGGGCCACAATTTCCAAACCCCCCGGGGGGCGCAAGGCTCCTGACAGGGGCTAGGAATACTTTGGTCCACCAACGCGAAGGCCGGCGGACCCCTATCCTTCGGAACAACGTCGGGAATGGGCCCCGAAGGTACCCGCACACCTCCGCATCTGTGGGTCAATTGCAATTTTTTTTTAAAGCGTGCCAATCGTGCATAGAGTGCAATAAATAAATAAAGAGTGCCAGTGCACCAGGCTGATGGGCCCCAGACTAGCCATAAGGCCTGTCCAAGAGGCGATGTGCAGGAAATGCATGAAGTGCCGTGACCTTGTGTCAGTGAATCAGTGCTGGGGGTCTCACACCCTAAGTGATTCTCTGGCACCCCTGGAACGCCACCCCCCAGGGGGCACAGCACCACGGGCCTCTGCCGCCCCCAACCCTCCAACCAGACCAAGCAAGCACCCGTCCCCATCAGGAGGCCGTATACCAAGGCTGTCCCCCCCTCTCACAAGAAGCAGCCCGGCACGAACCTTCACTCCAGCGAGTACTAAGTAACCATCCCCCGCAAGGACGGTTCTTTTCCCCACCGGAAACCGATAGGAACAGATACTAGACCTGATCTTAGCCAAAAAGCCGAGAAGCAATAGTTAGGGTGATGGTGGGCCAGAAGGAACCATAATGCTCAGTGTATGGGAACCATGGCTTCTACAGAGGAGGGCTTAGGGCCCAACCAGACAGTATATCTAGACAGGTCATGGGGAGAAGGGACTAAAGGAATCCAAAAGCCCTCCAACCGAATCAGTGCCTAGCACGGTGAAGCCTTCTGACTCATTGGGCCCCGAGCCCTCCTCCATGGTTCCCAGTCATGGTTCCCATACGCTGCACTGATGATGCCCTACAAGCCAGAAACAGGTGTATGCAATTTGGAATAATCGGCTCTGTAATATTCGGTTATATTTGCACTATACGCCAGCCACTTTAGACGTGCACCTGGCTGATGGCACATCATCTTCTAGCCCTTTCCTCCCCAGCCTGACTGTCCCAGGCCCCGCCCCCTTTCATTCTTTGGATTTCAGTTCTTCAGCGTCACATGTGGGCGTTACCTATGCCAAATACAGCCTGCCTAGGAACGCCCACTCCTCCAGACTGACACCCACACATCAATATAATGATATTTGCATAACTCCTCCCAAGAGCCCGCCCACTGCTTGCATCAGAGCTGAGAGCTCTCGAGAGCAGCCCTCCCTCCCTCTTAAAGTGTCTCTACACGCCCAGCTCCACCCTCCCATTCAGCTCCTGGCCTATCACCAGCCTCCTGAGCTTACTTACTCCAAGTTATTGTGAATGGAAAGAAGTGTCATCAGGAGTGTTGTATGTGCGATGTTCCCGGGCTGAAAGTAAGAGAACTTTGCTTTATTCCGTACACAGAATCATCCCGCAGACAAGACAAGGGAGTTCTCTGCTCCCCTCTCACAGTCTGTGCAACCGTCCCCACAGGGGCCCACAAAGGCCGGACTCTGTGAAGTAAACTGTATGATGACTGCACATGCAGGGACAGGGGAGCGGGGGAACGGGGAGCGTGGACAGGGGAGCGGGGACACGGGGAGCGTGGACAGGGGAGCGGGGACACGGGGAGCGTGGACAGGGGAGCGGGAAATAAACATTGACTTGTATTTCCGCCGGAGTGCTAGTGACTTCTCTTTACCTTATACGTATGGTACCCAGTCGCCCCTCCCCCCCCATCCCGGTCAAACCCCCACGTGGCACTCACTTGTTCAGGTTGACGTCCTTTCCTTCCTCGTGAGCCTCTAGAAGCTGTTTGATGATGTCGGCGATGGTCTTCATCATCAGCTCGGCCTTGCTGACCTCCCCTGCTGGACAGAAGAAGACACGAGATTAGAAGATGTGACCGATCCTACGGACCTGAGGATGATGCCCGTGACCCCCACCACAGACTGGAGGCGGCATTTGTTCAACTGGAGTTTGAAGGGCCGAGGTTCAGGGGTCGAGGTTCAGGGGTCGAGGTTGAAGGGCTGAGATTAAAGCTCGAAAGCCAAAACTTAATTTGTCATTTTAAATGGGGTGGTGATGGGTTAGAACCCCTGTCAGGTTTTGAATGGTGACTGTGTCCCCCGTTATGGAGATTGACCCTCAGGGGAGATTCCCCCTCCCAACCCCCTGACCCACCTGCAGTCCCACCAGGACTGCCAGTGATGGGAAATCAAAAATATTTCAGCTGTCCCCAGGAGACAGGAAGAGCCGGGGGAATCTTCCAAGAGGGAACACTTTTTCTGGTGACAGGTTTCCTCTCACTTCCTGTTGTGTCTTTGGGACAGGAAGTAAAAGGGAAATTTCCCCAGCAGGAGCACAGACAGCATGACAAGAAAATCCCTGATCAAGGGGACGAACATTAATATGTGTATGTACCCGGCAATAACAGGGGCCCCAGCCCTCCACCTACTCTATAAAGGAAAGCAGTATGTCTGTTACAGTTTAAGAGTTGCCCACACTTCCTGTCTGGTAAAACAGTTGTCACCTGGACAGGAAGTGAGGGTAAATCTTTCAAACAGAGCCCTGGGTAGCAGTAAAAACCTGACAGGGGTTCTAAGCCTTCCCTGCCCCCTCCAAAAAAAGAAAACATATTTTTTATATTACTCTGTGTCCTGAGGGGTCACCTCCCTCCATTACCTGTGTATCCAATCAGGCAGCCCCTGCGCTACATAGTTGCTGTTAGATGAAAGGGCTCGTGCACACACCATAATGGACGTCCGCTGCTGTGCGTTGCGAGCGGGTGGTGCAATGCGTTGTTACAATACATCCCCATTAGGCAGCTTCATTCTTTCTATTAGTTCTGGAGACTGAAAGTGAAGGAGAAACTGAAGCTCTGTGTTGTCACCAGAACAGGAAGAGAGGGGGAAATCTTCAAACGGGGACACTTCTTCTGGTTAAGAGGGAATTTCCTTCACGTTTCCCTCACTTCCTGTTGTGTCTACAGAACAGGAAGTGAACGGAGAGCTCCCCAAATGGGGCTCATACACACGGCAGTAAGAATTAACTGATCCTCTACGGTGGATATATATCGCTGGAATATTCCATATAATTAAAAAAATGCTTCAAATGGCCCAAAAGTGTATTTTTCTCTAACATGTGCATAGGCCCTTTAAACGAGTGCAGCCAATCAGATGGAGCCTTAGGTGACAGGTGGGCGGGGCCTCAGCCTACGAGAACAGACATTTAGATAGCCTCTGACATAGGTGTCATTGGAAGCAGCCAATCACATGGAGCCGGCTAAGGGGACAGATGTCATCACGCAGGTGATTGGCTGCAGTGGAGGGGGCGTGTCTCTCCACTGACACAGTAGCAGCATTGCAGCCTAAGCCCCTCCTCCCCCCACCCGACTACTAGTCCCAGCATGCTCTGCTGGCCAGGAGTTGTGTAAACACTTGTGGAGGGAGCCCGTGACTCTCACCCTGCTTCTTCCGCGGCGGCTTCATCTTCGCTGTACACCGTACACGGCGTGAGGACGGAGAGCGGCGAGGGACAATCCTCCTACACCGTACACAGCACGGGGACGGAGAGCAGCGAGGGACAATCCTCCTACACCGTACACAGCACGGGGACGGAGAGCAGCGAGGGACAATCCTCCTACACCGTACACAGCACGGGGACGGAGAGCAGCGAGGGACAATCCTCCTACACCGTACACAGCACGGGGACGGAGAGCAGCGAGAGACAATCCTCCTACACCGTACACAGCATGAAGACGGAGAGCGGCGAGGGACAATCCTCTTCCAGCAACGCGCAACGGTGTGCAAGAAGGGACAAACCTTTTCCAATAGCGAATTACCAATCAACGGCAGATATAATGTGAGGATTTTATACAGAGATTGCTGGCCAATGATATCCCCCTCCACTGACGTCACACAGGCTGTGTGTACAGCTGCAATATATAACTTTTTTTGTGTTTAGTTACAATTTAATTCCCAAGTAGACTTTTAACAGCAAACTATTTGAAAGGGTGTAATAATCTAATGTGACCAGCAGGTGGCGGGCGTGTACCATGGATCATCATTGGTGCTGAATGCTATATCAATGATTTAAAGGGGAAGGCGCATAAAATTTTCTGTAGGGACATATTTTGAGTGTTTTATTTGAATTTATATATTTGTTCTTCCATACAGAAAGAAGAGATCATAGAACTTCCAGGTCCAGAGCTGTCAGAACTTGGCTGGGTAATCCAGCTGATGGAGTACTATCTGTACTGAGTCTACCTGGGGGGGAGTACAGAGGCCTCTTTGACTCCTAATGCCTCTGTAAAGAGTACCTGTCACCCCTTAAAGAGGAACTCCAGAAATGTAAAAAGTTAACCCTTGCAGTGGAGCTACCCAGTGGTGTCACAAGGGGGGTGTGGCCCACACCCGGGTGACACCATTGGAGGGGTGACACCAAATTGACTGACAGTCATTTTGGTGTCACCCCCCTCTGAAAAGTTGGACACTCAGTCAAGGACCGAGAGCCTGACAGTTGCTCGAGAGAGAGAGAGAGAGGAGGGGACCCGGTGGCTTACCTTATCCCACCGGGTGACGTCCCCTCCTCTCTCTGCCCGGTGTCCATCGCCAAGATGGCCGCCGGCAGGTAACAGCGGTATTGCGCGTGATGACGTCACTGCGGGGTGTCACCCGGTATCCGCACCGGGTGTCACCCCGCCTCTGGAGCTACCCACCGCATTGCAAGGGCAACATAATACCCAATTTTTTGGTAAAATATAAAAGTCGGGGTCACGCCGGGTAAAAAGACACCAAACATGTCAAGCCTTAAAATTGCATTCGCCCCTGAAGCCGCAAAAATCCTCCAATCATTGGACCCGGAAGTGATGTTAAAGGAGAACTATGAGGGGGGTGCTTTTCACTCACCTCATAGTTCTAGCCGACCTGTGACAATGAGACTGCCACAGGTCAGCTCAGTAGACCGGGAAGTGTGGGAACACATACCGGGTTCGCTCACCTCTCGATCCTGTCACGGCTCTCTGCCGTGACAGGGGGAGGGGCTGGATTCCCCCCTCCCCGCTCCGATCTGCCAGCGCTGACTGGCAGAACGGACGGGGAGGGGGCGGGTACAGCTGGCTCTGCCTCTAGATAGGCGGAGCCAGCTGTCACTCACGCAGCTGGGCGGATCCTGTCATCTAAGTCGGGATCCGCTGCGGCGTCTCAGTATACCGCGAGCTGTAGTTTGCGGTATACTGAGCTCAGGGTAACGGGAGGACGCTAGTTTGTGTCCTCCTGTTACCCTTGGGAGAACTATGGGGAAAAACACTGACCCCATAGTTCTCCTTTAAGGCTAACAAGCCCCCTATGTAATAGCAGATAGGATGTGACAGGTCCTCTTTATGGAGACATCAGGGGTCTTTCAGACCCCTAATGTCACGCAGACCCCTAATGTCACCTAGGGACCCCAAAGAAGCTGAGGAAGCACAGATCTGCATCCCCAGCTTCATCTCTTGGTTGTAAGAGTGACACCGGAATTGATGTAAAGCACATCATTTCCGGGTCCAGTGATCGGAGAAGAGATCAATGGCTGGAAGACGCTGAATCTCTCTCTGATCACTGGGGGGAGACACACCGAAACCCTCCCGGGCGCGGCACAGGGACAGCGGTGGTCGGGGAAGCTAACGGCGGCAGCGGGGGGGAGGGCATGGCACAACGGATCCGGCGGCTGTACAGACGTCGGACCACTCGTACATTAACAGCCATTGCCTGCTCCTGCAGCCGTGTTCTTGTTTTAACCACTTTAACGGGCCGCCGTCTATATAGACGTATTGCGGCCCCGGAAGTGGTTAAAATGTCCTCTGTCACCCTAATCAATCCCCCGGTGACACCTCAGGAAGTGTGGAGGAATCTCGGCTCACATCACTCAAAGTCCAGTGACCTAGAACCGGCACGGAACGGGTCACCCCGTGTCCAATGCAGAGACCTGTTATGTCACTTCTGATTATCTGCAGGAAGAAGGGACATCAGGTAAAATGGTGTCATCCCTCTAGACCCCTCGTGCTACACAAGGGAGGAACTTCCCCTGATTGTTACCAGGGGATCCATCACGATGTCACATGATATAAGATCTACAATGGTAACATGATGACTCCGTATCACCAATCCGTCTCTGGTGTCACCATCTGCCAAAGATAAGAGGAACCTGTGACACCGTCCCCCGGGAATAAAGAACGCAAACCTTGCTTAGGGTCAACAAAACCAAACTACGACCCTCTTAATCATATAGACGTTGGTTTCCCTTAAAGTGGACCTGTCACTTCTTAAAGTGTCCAAAACTGACACAACAAGGAAGAGGATATCCCCCCAAAGTGGGGGAGATCCCATTCTTAGACTTCTACCACCAGAACTGGCATTCCCCTTTGGCAGATTTCCCCTCTATCCCTGTTCTGGTGGCAACTTAAAATCATGGATTTCCTGTCACGTTTTGTCCCAGTGACGATGGCCATCAGGACAGTTAGGACGGACATTTCACCCTCCACACATTCCAAACCTAACTTGACTTTAGATACACTATAGATGAGAAGATCTAGCGCACAATCAGCATTCTAATTCATCCCAAAGGTGTCCTGTAGGGTTAAGGTCAGGACACTCGGGTTCCTTCACACCAAGCTGGTCACACTTTATGGAGCTGGCTTTGGACAGTCATGGGGTGGAACAGGAAAGGATCTTTACCAAACTGTGACCACAAGGCTGGAAGAGTCCAATTGTCTACAATGTCTTTCTATGATGGAGGATGACCAGAACCTTCACTGGAGACACCTGAACTCAGCCATTTGGAGGGGGGTATAGTGTATGCCTTGGATACTCCCAACAGAGAGATCTCCCGTCTTAATGCCTGGATATGTTTCTGCCCACCAAGGAGTTCTGTGCGTTCCAACTCCTCCCGTTATATTCTCTATTATATCAAATAAACAGATCCAGCAGGGATGGTGGGAGCCCCTCATAATGGGCACAGCGGGGGTACAGACCCGGGAACTCAGCACAGGGATGGTGGGGGCTCCTCATAATGGACACAGCGGGTGTACAGACCCGGGAACTCAGCACAGGGATGGTGGGAGCCCCTCATAATGGGCACAGCGGGTGTACAGACCCGGGAACTCAGCACAGGGATGGTGGGGGCTCCTCATAATGGGCACAGCAGGTGTACAGACCCGGGAACTCAGCACAGGGATGGTGGGAACCCCTCATAATGGGCACAGCGGGTGTACAGACCCTGGAACTCAGCACAGGGATGGTGGGAGCTCCTCATAATGGGCACTGCGGGTGTACAGACCCGGGAACTTAGCACAGGGATGGTGGGGGCTTCTCATAATGGGCACAGCGTGTGTACAGACCCGGGAACTCAGCACAGGGAGGGTGGGAGCCCCTCATCATGGGGGCAGTAGGTGCAGACCTGAGAACTTACTGCAGAGTCCTCGCCAACAGAGTCACTGAGAGATAGAAGAGGCCGTAAGATAGTTTAACTTTTCAGCACCTACCAACTGCAAAACTATAATTTTTGGGTGGATTAATCCTTTAAGTTGTTGCGATCATTGCTGTTTGTGTCCCGATGACATTGAGGCAGCAATTAAGTTAAATACTAAGAGCAAAAGTCATGTTTGTGGTAATAAAGTTGAATGAAAGAGAGAGAACAGACCCCATGGACAGATGTGTCTCTTATAGTAGAATGTGGTGAAAGTTCAGCGAATCCCCAGAGACAATGTCCGGAGGACAATCGGGCCGGGTCACTGTGAGGTGTCGGAGCGGGATTAGGTTACATTATTAGGCAGAGAGGGCTGTTACCTGATCCCGGGGGTCACACACAATCCCTCCCCGGACACAATCAGAAATGGACACTTAAAGCTCCCCTGTAATTTAATAACACAGATAATGATGAACATTCAAGGATGATGGAGGTTTTAGTGGAAAGAGTCGGGAATGGCCAAGACCCCGACTTCATCAATGCCAATTCCTCAAGTGCTAAAAGTAACCATCAGAGTCATCAGACAGACGGAGCCCACAGACCGCCATTCAAAACTCAGAAACTTTTCTGAGGATGAGCAGCTTGCGTCACGGACAGGGAGGTCTGATACAGTGAGGAAAATAATGATTTGGTCCCCTGCAGATTACAAGGAAATGAAAGGTCTATAAGTTTTCTCATCGGTGTATTTTACATAGGGATGCACCGATACCACTTTTTTAAGACCGAGTACGAGTACCGATACTTTTGATCAAGTACTCGCAGATACCAATTACCGATACTTTGTTAAAGGGACAGGTCACATTTTTTCTAAAGCAATACAAACTAATGCTTTAAGGTCACTTTCTTAATATTATGATTCAATTATGCCGTCATTACACGGCGCCCGTTTTCCGAATTTGCTAGCTTCCTGACCATGGAGGCGAGACGTTTCCTGCTGGAACCCTTGTTGGGGAGCACAGAGGTGAGACGTTTCCTGGGGGAACCCTTGTTGGAGAGCACAGAGGTGAGACGTTTCCTGGGGGAACCCTTGTTGGAGAGCACAGAGGTGAGACGTTTCCTGGGGGAACCCTTGTTGGGGAGCACGGAGGTGAGACGTTTCCTGGGGGAACC